CAATAACAAATCTTTGTTTGTTTACATTGGTGAAATAAAAAAAATATAGTAAATATTACTTTTGCATAGTAAACATACCCTACTTTTTCCGTAGCAAACAATGTAATGGCGGATTTTGATTTTTGCAGGTGATAAACATGCAACGGAAACAGGTCATTTCCGGGGCTATATATTTTTTACATACATAATGTACCAAAACCAGAGGTTAACTAGTTCAATTCTTACAGTTGTCAAGTACAAACATACGTCATAGTTTACATAATTTCAAAGCTCTTGATAATATATACACATTGGTGGATTTTACTACTTGTATACGATAAAAATAATTGCGGATCTTTATGTAGAAAATAAATTGGAACACAAAAATTAGAAGGAATAGGCCTAGTTGTTTTTGCCTCGTGGGACATTAAAATTAAAAAGTATATCGGTTCTTGTCTACGTCTTACTATGCTACTTACGATAATAGCTCAGCAAAGCTAGCTACTTAATAGGGAAATTTGCTAAAATCAGAATCCAATCAGACAAATTGTAAATAAGCAAGTATGCAGGTTTGGTGCTACGGGGGGTATTTAACATTCAGTAATCCATGTGTAAAAAATGTTAAAAATATACAGAGTCATATAGAAATACAAACTAAATAATAAGATATTTAACTCACAGAACGCTAAATTGGTGTTGTTTGTATTGTTACAAATGGTGCCAATTCCTAACCGAAGACAAATGGTTGAAAGCCAATATAATGTGAACAAATACCACTAGGTAATGTTCAACAATATATTTCAACTTCTGTAGCTTTTAACACACAGGAATGTAATGTGATTTAGAGGGGGCCGAGGGGGGGAGAAGAATAAAATGGTCATTCATAATGTGGCTTATTTTAATACAGGTCTCAAGTTTATTATTGCTATGGGATGCTTCGAATGCGTTCATTCGTTTATTTCCCAACGGTTAACACCAGTTTACAAAATTGATACAATATTAACAAGATGGTTATATACAGTGTGTAAATTAAGTAAGGAAACAAATTTTTATTTATTAAACCGAAATATATAGAAATATTTTGTGTGTGGCATTGATTGTTAACAAAGGTTCCGCAATATTTTACTTAAAAGATATTTTTAACCCCCCCCCCTCTCCTAAAAGGGTTGGAAATTTGGCTAGGGTGAGATATCCAAATCGGGTTTGCATCATTGTATTTTATTAAACCTTTCGAAATCAGGAGTCACTCCATAGGGGTTGCTATTTGGGAAAAATAGGTCACCCCCTACCACAACCCTGTTACGAGGGTTAACATATATTTTCGATTTAAATGATTGCGGAACCCTTGTTAACAATCAATGCAATTTACAGAATATTTCTATCTATCGCGGTAAAACAAATACAGATTTGTTTCCATACTTCATTTACACATTGTATGCAAGAGTACAATGAATGGCGGTTTCAGCATCCTGCCAGGATGGGGCTCCCAGGGAGGCTTGGGGGGAGCAATCCTCAAAAAAGAGGGGGGTCCGGGGGTCCTCCCACGGGAAAATTTGGAATTTCCTTAACTGTTTGATGTTTGATGACTTTCTAAAGCAATTTTTACATCTAAAACAGTACCCAATTATCCATAAACTCTCATTTCACCAGTTGTTTGTCATGAGAAAGTAGACATTTTAAAAATCAAACTATGACGATTGCATTAATGAATTTCAAAACACACTATAGACTACGAACATATCCTCCTAAATACCGCTTTTAGTAAAATTAAGTACTTACTACTCTACAATAATCTGACATGGTCCGGAGTTGATATCTAAAGAAATGTAGAAAAAAGTAGGGGGGAACTCATTTAAAACTCACCCTGTATATTTACACTTATACATTACTCATAAGTAAATATATATAAAACATAGTAAGTAAGTGGTGAAGGTTATTCGTCTTTTGGATCTGATGATGATTGGAGTGTACAATCAAAATCGATCCCCACTTTACCATCTTTTAAATACATATTTACCGTCTTGTGAGCTAACAGTAAGAGTGAATGTTTTAAGTGTTATTAGACCTATATTTATTTACTTTCCGTAAATTTAATAACACGTAAAATGCTGATCAAGAAATGGTTAAAAATACTGTATAATTTTTGTGTTAGTGTTAGTCCAGTCCAGTTAGTTACTACATTGGACTAAACATAAGGTGGGAAACTCCCAATAAGTGGGTGATTTGGATATGAAATAATACTAGATGAGTATGATATGTAACATTATTTAATTAGAATAATAATAGATAATGATACTATTGCAAAATAGATAGTGCTTTTACTATTAGTTGACAATCACTGAAGCTAGTATACCGAACAATCAAACATGGGGACTTCGAATGAACAGAATTATAACACCAAGGAAGAGCCGTCAGTGGCCATCCCCTGACCGCAAGCCACATGGTGCTCTAAGAATAGATCGATTGGGAAGCCCGATGATTCGAAGGAAAATTACAAAGAGACAATAGAATATTTGACAAAGACCCGCTAGATTAGTGAGGGTCTTTACCTTATTTTCAGAGTAGGGGATGATTCGGTTATTGGGACAATGATGACAAATGGGAGGGGCTTTACAACCCTGCCCAAAGGGAAGATCTGAATGGACCAGTGTCCATTTTAGGGGTGTTGAGACCTACCCCTGTCAACCTACAATGAATACCTGAGATCTTGTGTGTGTGTGTGTGTGTGTGTCAACCCTTTGCTGGCACAGTCTGAAATAACCTTTAGTTAAAAGTTTACATCTGCGGATGGATATGTTATAAAAGTTACATCAGCATTTAACAATTTCTAGTGATAGTTACAAAAATGTTTCCATGATTTTAGTGCCAACATAACCAGGGTTGGTACTAAATTTGGTAAATAAAACTTCCTGACTTTTCCAGGTTTACCAGACTGATATTATACTTTTTCCAGGTATACTATAAGTCGATATTGACTAATCAAAATCAAGAAATATTAGAAAAAATGTAAATATTTAACTTATTTAATCACTCCCAAATACAAAACTTGTTTCAAACTATATACATATTGATTCCTCCCCTGTACTGATAACTATCAATATAAAAATGTACATAAGTGATTATGTCAATCTTTTTGCGATTAGTCATCACCCTGACAAAAACATGTTTAGAGCAAAGGTACATCTGTAAAAAGGTAGTCTTTCAGGAGAAATTCAAGAATTTTTCCAGACCAACAAAATGTTGATTTAGATACACATAACACAGTATAAGATGACTGGACCTGTCTTGTAACTATTGACAGCCAAGATAAACTAAGACTTGCATACAAACCGTTGCCGAGGCACCCAGCATCATTTTCGGGAGGCTGCATCTCTAGCATCAGTTTGACATATTATACAATTCTTGCTTCTTTTACATTTAAACTCCAAATTATTGTAGATTGGTTTGTGAAATTTCCAATTTATACTTTCAAATAAATCCTCTTTTTCAGGACCTGTCCTGTGACTTAACCCCTCGAACCCGATGCTTCCTTACCATTGGTTGCTCGTTGCTCGACGCTCAAACAACCAACAGCTCCCAACATCAGACCTGGTAGAGTCCACAACAGAACTGTGGGTGGGGGGGGGGGAATTGTTCAATGACACAGTAAAAGATATTATTTTGTTTAAAGAGGGCCGTTTTGGTTACAATTCATGCAAACTAATCACTGTTTAATTAATGCATTTAAAAATTGCTTTGTAATCAGCTTAAGTTAGTTTTATGTACCATAGCTCTAGCCTTCTGTACCTAAGCTTTTTTCCGTCTACCTTAGATTTTTGAAATTTTTATATACAACACTCCTATTTTGTAACTGTAAACACTATTTTTGCTGATGTGAGTTATATGTTTTGCAAGATACAAATTGAAGATTTACACGAGGATGTGTTACTGTGTAATGCACATTTAAGTACCGTAGGCTATATTATGTACTAAGGAATACTGTGCCATTAGTTGATGTATCAAAGTACATCTGACATCAAAGTACATGACCTATTGGTTACCATCACTCAGCAAAAACAACAATAGCCTAGATGAGGTGCTCTGCTTTAGCCTGACTAGTGTTTTTTCAAATCTGGTTGTGGTATTCATACCATTATTTCAGATTTTCAAAGTGTTAAGATGAAATAAAAGACAATACATATTTTAACATTTTTAATTTTATGCAAATACACAACACGAAGAACTTTTTATAAAACCCAAAATGACAACAGATAGATTTAAAAAACCATGCTTGGATCCAATAATATGCACATTGTTAAAATTGAAAATTTGTTTGACCTTAATTAATAAACAAAACTAATATAGAAATTTAAAGTGGTGAATAGCATCTTCAACAAATGTTTAAACTATTGCTTATAGTCCCCCAACAAGTGCTTATAGTCCCAAAACAATTTTCAAAATATAACCAATGAAGTAATAAACACTGCAGCTACAATTCTTGAGCTTTTGTATGAGGAACCAAACGAGATACTGACCAGAAATATAAGCTAGTCCCCAAAATTCAACAAAAAAAAATTGTAAAGGTAATTACAGATAAACCATTCTTAACAATGATACATTGAGTAAAACTGATAAAGTGTACTGCTAAGAAAGTAAAGTTACAACTGTATAATATACAACTATACAATAATATATAAAACATTATACGTAATAAAGCTATAACTATAAAAATACCGGTAATGAGCACTCCCAACAATCACTGCTCTTAAGATAAAAGACTAACTGACAAACGAATTACGTTTAACTCATTAAAGCCAAGCACTACTGTGTAAGAGATGAAAAATAACACTACTTTACACTTGGACAGAGATTGTAAACTCGGAAGTTAAACATTTCACAATGTAATATAGCTTAAATTTTTTATTATATGCAATGAAAATTAGTGAAAAATGTTTTACTTTTATGACTTGTATAACTTTGACAAGAAATAATCTGTAATTTTTTTAAATTTACAACTCTTAACATTTTTAGACATATCCAGTTTAATGCTAAGTGTTGTATAATGTAAAATAATTTTATTTTCACTTTCATGTACATTACTGAAATTCATATTTTTTTATTTATGTCAATACACCTCTAAAAGTAACTGGCACTGGGTTCGATTTCAGATCTGAAAAAATACAATAATATTTAACAAAAAATTTATATTATGTACAAAATATTTTTAAAAAATTATCAAAAAAAGTCTTTTGTCATCTATTAACAGTTGCATCAGTACTTAAACCAGTTTGAAACCGATCTTATTCCTGCCATTTTTATTTAAATGGACAGGCATTCACAGATTTTGATGCAATGGTATGGTGGCTAATTTTTGTAAAAAGCTAGCAGCGGCTTACCCTTTGAAAACATACATCTCATTTAGGAAATGGGAACTGTTTCTTATTCATACATATATTTTCTTATTTATGGCTTTATTTATACATAATACATCATTGAATTGTTTGTATGTGAAGGGAAAATACACTATACTTTAATACAAAACTTTCTTGTGTAGAGTTTGAAGTTATGTAATTTGTCTTTGGTGTAAAACAATAATTTTTTAAATATAAAAACTAGTAACTAGATTACGTTTTTAGGTATTTTTAATATCCAATAGAAGTAAGAAATGTAAATAGCTTAACAAGAAAACATCTTATGGACCTTGAGCTGCAAGTTGTGAAACTTGTTTGTTTGGAACACTTATATATTTTCTCAAATACTTACCATACAATGTTAGTTATAAAAAATCTAAGTTTCCATTTCACTGTCAGTTTCCATCGGTTTTGCATTGTTTTCACCAAGCACCTGTAAAAATGTACAAAATATTTAAAAAATTGTTATTAAAAAGTATTTTTTGTCATCTATTAACAGTTGCATCAGTACTTAAACCAGTTTCAAGCTGACCTTATTCCTGCCATTTTCAATTCAATGGATGGCAGCACAGATTTTGATGTGTTGATGTGTTTGATGTGTTGGTGGCTAGGTTTCATAATTTTTGTAAAAAAACTAGCAGAGGCTTACCCTTTGAAAACATACATTTTATTTAGGAAATGGAAACTTTTTCTTATGGAATAACACATCACGAGGAACGTTGTTGTTTGTGAGAAAGTGATAATTCCAAAATAGTTTTAAACATTCAAAGGCTGTCGCTGGGAAAATTTAGAGTGCATGTTTAATAAGTTCTATGAATTCACTGACAGGTAAATTGGTGCTTGCGGTTGGCAACATAAACACGTAGGTACTTTCAGTATTGTGGCATACGTAGGTTGACAGCCTAGGCCTACCACCACGACCACACTTACCTTGCCTTGCCTAAGTCGTCTGTCACTTTTTTGTCAGTACTGTATTTTGTTTTTACAAATAATTCATACTGTGTACAGTGTTTTAATGTTCACATTATTATGGCAAGTAAAAATAACCTCAAAAGAGGAGCTAATTCTTTAGATGGGTTTGTTTTCAAAGTTAAAAGAACTGAAGACTCATCGAATACGGTGATTTCAGAGAGACCAGAGATTTCAAAGACCAAGACTTTAGGTCTACTTAGTTCACTTCATGCCCTTCTATTTTGTGATAATGATCCAAATGTAAGAAGGTTACTGGAATTGTCACGAGTGCATATGGTCAAAGAAGCTGAAGCATAATACTCATTTCTAGACTTAGAAGTAAAGACTTGACTAATGTCCACCACTTCCGAATCAAGATTGATTGGGTTAGCAGCCTTGAGCATAAGCACCCATAAAAAAATCCAATTAAATGCTGAAGAAGTTGTAGAAAGGTATTCTAATACTCAAGCACAGAAAAATGGACCTCATATTTTAAATGAATACATAAAACAAAGTGTGTCTGTAGGGAAGCAGGTATTGTGGGAATGGTGAACAGTAGAAGGCTGAGATGGCTGGGCCAAATTCAATGCCGAGGTGAGAGAGATGGTAAAGCAAGTGATAAGAGGTACTCCGGTGGGCAGGAGACCACTGGGATAGATTGACGAGGTTACAGAAAGTCTAAAGAGTATGAAAGCAGACCTGGAGCTGGCAGAAGACAGAGGATCCTGGAGGCACATGGTTGGCAAAGCCAAAGACTGCCTAGGTTTTCAATGGCCACAGAAGTAATGTATTTGTTGGGAATTTTCAATAGGACTAATATGTTTACAAATAACCTCAAATAAAAATAAAATATAAACTCAATGTTTTATTTATTTCCAATGCATTCTAAATATTAGGCAAATACCTACAAATCCACAACGTTGACTTGGTCATGTTTAATCAATCTAATGAGATACAAGTGATAACTAGAGACTAAAGATTGATGTTTTGTATTCACTTTGTTCTTTTGAATTAAAGAGAATATAGATGTAAAAAAGAATGTTGAAATAGTATACTATAATACTAATGTAATACAACTTTACATTATTTGCAAACATAACTATGGTAGTAGTTGTATGGATTTATGAAGGCTATTAATGAAAAGATTTACTGATTTAGGTTTGGTATCAATGAAAAAACAAATTCTCATAATACATTTTAAGGTAGTTTTAAAACATGTTTTTCAGGTTTATATTTGCCTAAAATTCTCCCAGGGAAGACCATGGGGACCCCCCTTGACCCGGGGAGGGCCCCCCAAACTGTATCCCTGGGTACGCCCCTGAAAGATAGGACAGTCTTTAACTATATCTAAAACACTTTTGTGGACATTTTTCTTCAGTATTAACACATTTTTTATTACGTATATGGTGAGAAAGTATATTTAAACATAATAAGAACAGTACTAAGACCCAGGCAAAGCTAGAAACACAAAAAACCGCACACAGTACTGTGTAACCATAAAACACAGAAAACAATAAATGGAAAATCCTCTGACGGTGAAATATTCTAATGTTTTGTGAATACTGTAGGCCTAAAGTTTTGCGTTTTTTGTGCTTGTTTATTCCATTTCAAAATTCAAGCAAAACCAAGTATCATGCTCGAACTCCTTTATAGAGACATTGAAATATAAATAGCATTAGAAAATAAAGATCAAATTTTATACTGATCGGAATTTCAATTTATCTAATTGGATTCATACTAAAATATTTTCATAAACAAGACATATTTAATTCCCATTTAAATAGCGCTAGATTTAATAAGTACTTAAGTTTGGTGCTATTGAGAAGGTATAAGGTGTTTTTTTTTTTTTTTTTTTTTTTACTAAGTGTTAATATTATAAGGTAAAGTTGGGAAATTTTATGTTTTCAGGGTAAAACACAGGAAAACTCAATTTTCACCCCCATAAGGCCCTCTTCCCATGGTCCAAACATGTTGGTTTGTAAACTTATTCAGGTTTATCCAGACCTACACCTTCAACCCAAATGTCATGAAAATCTGAAGAGAAAATTACTCAAGTTATTGCATTTATGGACACACATACATAGCAATTTGAACTAATAGTGGATTTAACCTCTAGGGACATTAGAATTAAATAGTAAATCCGTCCCGGGTCTAAGAACAGTACAAAATTCGCTAAAATTAATGAGATTAAAATATAGTTAAATACCCCCGCCGCAGCAAACCTGCAGACTAAGCCAATTTCCATTTACCCGGCTGGATTTCTACTAAAATATTCCCTCAAAAATGACAGATTTATTTCCTATTTTAAAAACATTGATTTTAGTCAGTACTTAGGTTTTCTGCTACAGGGAAGATATTGAGGTGTGTTTTTTTTATTGAAATGTTGATAGCTTAGTATGAAATAAACAAAATTGCCAAATTTTATTAAAATAAGATATATATTATAATATCCATAAACAAGCAAACTACAACAGTTTATTAATTCTCTATATGGGAATTTTAAATTTACAATTTTTTTACTATCTCTATAACCGTTTGGCATACAACAATGCTTCAATGTACAAAATTATTTCTTTATTTAAGCTCTACAAAATGGTTTGAAGAGAAATTTTTTGTTTTTTGGGTCGAAAATGGGAAAAATTAATTTTTACCCCATAAAACCCCATTTCCCATTGTCTGATTATGATGGTTCGCGAACTCGAATAAACGTAGGTTTACACGGTTGTACCAAATTTCAACAAAATCGGATCATTTTTGCTAGAGTCAACTTGCTAACAGACACACAAATGTATATTGTATATGCATTCCCGGATTTAGGTCTTACCATGAGACATACGGTAACAGATTATGCCCTATATGGGAAATTCCCTAAAAGGGGGTTCATATTATCATATTATAACTAAATATGGTAAACCAAAACTATATTTTGGGTAGGCTTAGCTTCTAAAAAATTGTATACAATATTACTACGCTTACAGCGTTCCAAGGGTTAGAAGGAAACTGTAGTTGCTGGACTGTAGAGCTGTTAGGAGCAGGATTAGATCCTTCTGGTTTTGTTTTCTTTACATATCTTTCTGATCTTCCGTCTGGATCCCAAACAACCCGATGCTCCAGTGAATACTTTGGATATTTAGCTGCAAGAAAAAAAATACAAAATGTTATTAAAACCTCAAGTGCAAAATCGGAAGGCATATAAAATAAGAAGAAATTTAAGTAAAATTTGAAATAATTCAAGTTCACTGTGAAATCAATAACATGAATGATGACTGAAATCTGACTTGAAAATGTATGGGAAATATACTCTACATTAGAATACTTTTATTATTATTTTAGAGTATTTATGAACACATTTAAAACATGGATCAATCAAAAGTAACAATATGAATGGGGATTTTGTATTATTTTGGGTGAATAATAGTTTAAATTTAATACAGAAGAACCTTGATAACAAGACACTCATAAGGATTATAAAATAAAACTTGTTATCAAGGTTGACTTCTTATCGAGGTTTTCAATAACATATGATTAGGGTTAAAATTATTTCAGGGGTATTCGAAAATGACCCTTGTTATCAAGGGTGACTTGTTATCAAGGTTCTTGTTATCGAGAGTCTTGTTATCGAGGTTCTACTGTATCAAGGATGTATATTTAACTAAAGGGAATGATTTATATGTACTGAGCAATGAAGATTACCCCAGGGTTTCTGAGTGTTCCAGAAAAGAATTTCAAAGCATTTGCTGAAAGATTTAAAGCTTAATTCAACTCCAAGATGGTGTCTCTTTGATATAAATTAAGGTTCCACTATTATTTACCTAATTGGCTGTCTGAGTTTTGGAATTGTCAATATAGACCTGTGCACATTTCGCCACTAGGTGAATCAAGCAACAAATAAAGCAAATTAATATTTAATATTAATAATTAATATTGTAGTCAAATAATTCACGATTTTGTAGTGTAAGCAAATCGTTTTGGACATTTCACTCAGTACCTGGGATGAAAGATTATGTAATGAAACAAGAATTGATAGAAATTAAAATAGTAAAATCGAAACAAGTTTAACCAATCTTCCAGATTGCTATTCTGGTCAGGGTGATTTATAAAGGCAACACACTCTGCTAACAAATAGATTGTAAGCATTTGATTGAAAAACACATAAATAACCAAACACATTAAGCCATTTAGAATAAAATAAATGTTAGGTAACTATAATTTTACAAATCTTTCTTTATCTCAGTAGTATTTCATACCAAACTACAATTTTAATTATCAATAGGCCTGCACAAGAGTGGAAGGGATTCAGAAATAAACAGATTACGAATTTAGCCTCTAATCGGTTGAAATTAGTATAGGATAGTGTTATATTTATTTAACCTAGAGACAATCAATGCCTGACCAGCTAGCAAGAAAACAGAGATGATTAGTAGCAGAACCTTGTAGTTAATTGTGCCTATATCATTTTATGTTAAAATTTAAATTTGAATACTGAAATGTGAAAATAATTGTATACAGTATCCAACAAATATGCCACAATCATTGTGCTTTATAGACCAATTATAACAGATGTTCAAGATGATGTTCAGACGTTTTTTTCTTAATATTTAAATTTGAAGAACAAAAAAGGCAGGTAATATAATATATTAATTTTGTACAGTTGATTGTAATGTTGAGGGAAAAATACATAGACACAGTTGAATTAAATCAACTGACAAATTGAGGGATGATTTGTTGAAACATGATAATCTACTGGCAAAATAACATGTACGATTAGAAAGATTGTAGACAAATTAGAGTCCTTGGATCTTAAGACGTTCTAACTCATTTCATAAAAGGATTGAAAAACTACAAAGAACATTTCTAATCTCACAGTGCCCTAGGTATTTAAGTAATTGTAATCACTTTGGTTACTAAAAAATATTTTTGGATGATAAATAACTCTTCAGCAGCTGTTTAAAACTATACAAGATGGCCGCTAGCCTCTAAGGTATTTTAAGTGTCACATCATATCAAAGTTTATTTGGCCCTTAAATAGAGACGGATTCATTTTTTTATACATACTAAAGAGAGAATGATTGAACGAAAATGAACATGTTGATCGGCACAGAACATATGATCACTGCACTAATATTAAGGGTTCTCAATTAATTTACTTTAGTCATCATAGTAGGCCATAGTAGGGAGCACTTAAAAAGCTGAAGAATACAGAATATGGCATACGAATTGGAAGGAAGATAAGCGTGCTCGCCTTTGCTACTGCTTGCGCTTGCAGAGATCAGAGAAGAACTCCAGGAAATGTTTGAAGTCCTTAAAAGAGAAACAAGGGCAATGGGCCTGAAAATAATTGACAACAAAACAAAACTTGTCAGATTTGGAAGGGGAGCCGAGAACGTGGAGAACATAACAGAAATAGATCAACAGTATGAACAAGTTGAGTCTTTTAAATATTTAGGAGTAGAAATAAAGAACAGAATAAATCTAGCAAGTTGAAGTGCTCTAAACATATTATTATCATCAAGATTATTGTCTCATCACACTAAACTTAAAATCTACAAAACTATCATAAGACCTGTTCTTCTTTATGGAGCTGAAACCTTGGTTATGGATAAAAACATGGGGAAAAACTAATTACTTTTGAAAATAAAGTCCTGCGCAAAATCTTTGGCCCTACTAAAGAAGGAGATGTATGGAGAATTAAACATAATTAGGCACTAGGAGACCTGTTCAAGGAGCCAGATATAATTGCAGAGGCTAAAAGCAGGAGGCTTCGCTGTATGGGCCACATTATTAGAAGAGAGGAAACTAGCACATTATTTCAAATATGGAAAAGTTACCCACTGGGGAGAAGACCACGAGTGAGACCAAAGAAACTGGACCGAGGAGGCTGGACGGATGAAGTAAAGAAAGATGTGGCCAGGATGGAAATCAATAAAGATACTGCAAGAGACATGGTGATGTGGAGGCCAAGGACCACTTGGGGTAAGAATAATTGGTCATCAGAGTAAGAGCAAGAGTATAGTAGGCTACTTATAAGTTCCTTGTATTTCAAAAATATAAGAATGTATGACTAAATGGACTTACCCTCTCTTTCCCCGTCTGAGTCATAATCGTACAATACAGGGGTACAGGGGCACGATGGGTGGTTGTCATTCGCCATCCATTCACATACATAATCTGGAAAATATATTGAAAAGAAAAGTAATATATTAGCATGTAATTTGTCAAGCTAGGCATTAGCAAATATTGTTTTGACTCTGCTAACAGCCAGGTTGGTTTGCAAAATATAAAGAACTCAACACCATTTTTTCAAAACTACTAAAGCTCTGACTGTGCTAAGCAGTTGAATTTTTAGGTGAAAATCAGTGTTAGAAGTGAATGTGCTAAGTGAAAGGGTTAACATAAAGCGAATGAAATATCAGGATCCATTCTCAAACTTGACTTGAATTTTGCTTATTTAAATTACTGCGATCGATAATGCTAAGTTTCTTAGGCTGAGTACAGGAAGAACTGTAGCGGACCAGCTCAGACAGTCTGATAGGCTGTGATTCAAATACACAATAATAGTTTCAAAAGTTTAAATTTAACCAAAAAGGTCTATTAAATAAATCACTAAACTTTTTTATTCGAGTTTTCTTGGTGATTTTTTTTATATTTGGATTATTTTGATAGGGGAATCTCAGTATATTATAGCAATCGCTTGAAAATTCATGTCATCTCGATTGCAGGAACAGATGATCATTATGCTGCTGTGAGTGAATGTGTCAGTTTGAGTACTTCGGTATCGTTTTTTTTTTTTTTTTCAATACTTAAAGACACGTGTGTCAAATAAGGATTGATCTTTTTTTCAATCATACAGTTTTTTTTTTTATTTTAACAGGTCCACTGTGGTTGTGCCATGGTCAGCCGCTGCGCCAGTTGCGAGAGCATAATGTGCTTTGTCGATGAATGTGCAAAAGTTTAGTTTCATTCAAATGATAGGCATATTATAGCGTGTACTGGGTCTCAGTCGTCGTAGAGGTAGTTTTACAAGAACCTGACTGTTAGCAGCACTAAACCAAACTGTTAGTCTGCCTTCAGTATTACCAAATGGAGGGGAAAAACAGGGTAAAGTACCTGGATACTCCATCAATAAAATAGTGCAAAAAAGGGGTCAAGCAGAATTTTGAGGCTAAGTTCCTTCCAAAATGCTACACTACAGTCATTATTGTTATTCTATTCCATGTCACTAACTAAGCCCCAAACTAAAATAAATTTGGAATAGTCCTCACCAACGATAAAATAGTTGGATCTTAAAACAAATTATAACGATTTGAAGTATAAAAATGGCACAATGAGTGACAAGCGATACAAAAGTCTCATGGCAATGGTGGTGAATACAAAATTATACTTCCACCAATAGAAATCATTTTTTTAATTATCAAAATTGGCCTCTTTAAAACTTATCTGCTACCACTCGGAAGCTGTTTTAAAAAGCTTAAGTCCTTCAAGTCCTAAATATTCCCAACTATAAACTAAAATGTTGACAATATATTTTTATAATAAACAATACCTTTTTATTCACCAATATACCAACTCACAAATGAACAACTATACAGGGTGTAAATTAAGTCTGGCACACATTTTTTATCTTTTTTTCTATAGTAGATAGAAGAAATCAATTTGCGGGAATGATTAATAACAAATGTTAGGCACTTTTTACAAATTTTGAAAATAATAATTCCCTTAAGGGCAAGGGGGGGTGGGGGGTAACTAAAAATTTTCAAATGACAACCCCCATCTTGTGACCCCTCATTTTAAAGGTCATTGGAAGACAAATCCAAAGATGTGTCTAAAAAATTTTTTTTTGCACCCTATCCAAGATGGCGGTTTAAAATGTACTTAGGGTTCAATGGGTAAATTAGGTATGGCACACATTTCTTATCTTTTTTACTCTTTGTAGATAGAAGGAATTAATTTGCGGGACTGAGTAAGAACAAATGTTTGACACTTTTTCATAATTTTGAAAAAAAATCCCCTTAAGGGTAAGGTGGGGGTGGGGGGTAACTAAAAATTTTCAAATGACAACCCCCATCTTGTGACCACTCATTTTCAAGGTATTTGGAAGACAAATTTAACGATGTGTCTGAAAAAATCTTTTTTGCATCCTGTCCAAGATGGCGGCTTTAAATGTGCTTGGGGTTAAACGGGTGGGGTCTGGAACACAATTTTATCTTTTTTGTCATTAATAGATAGAACTTATCCACTCGTGGGACTGAGCCAAAATTAGGCACCTTTTTATTTATTTGAAAAAAACCCCTAATGGTAAGGGGGGGGGGCAACTAAAAATTTTCAAATGACAACCCCCATCTTGTGACCTCTCATTTTAAAGGTATTTGAGAGACCAATTTAACAATGTGTCTAAAAATGTTTTTTAAGCACCCTGTCCAATATGGCGGCTTAAAATGTGCTTAGGGTTGAACAAGTAAATTACGTCTGAAACACATTTTTATTTTTTTTTTACCAAAAATAAAGTTATAATAGATTTAATAGTTTATATCAGAAAAACTTGGACAATAGGACGAACTGCAATAAACAAACTTATGTAGCTCTTATCACTTAGTAAATAAATCTGATAATTGAGATTCCAGGTTTGGACGTTGCACTCACTTGGAATTCCTATCCTCTTTCTTAAGACTGCAGGCTAATCAGGTAACAATCTTATCAGTTTTTCCTTATTCCCCTTCAGTCTGTGTAGGTAGTTTCTTTGGAGTAGTCGTAAGTACATCTTTTATTATTTTTATTTAACATGGCGTTGTTAACAACAAAACAGAAGATAGAAATACTTGTCATTGTTGGCTATGGAGATAAAAAACGGACTCAACTTGAAGCGTGTGATATTTTTAACAACTTGTACCCTGATCGCCAAATTAATCGAGCTACAGTATCTAAGATATGTAATAAGTTTGCTGAAACGGGGGATGTTGCAAGTAAACCAAGAAGTGGTAGGCCAAAATCTGTACTCACTGAAGAAACTAGACTGAATATACTTCTTAGCGTTGAAGAAAATCATCACACATCGACACGTAGGATTGGAAATGACTTTGGGATAAGTCACATGTCGGTCCACAAAGCCCTTAAAGCCGAGAAGTTTCATCCTTTTAAGGTTCAGTTAATACATGAATTGAACGAGGACGATTTTGACCGCAGGATTGAATTCTGTGAACTCATGATGCAACGGTGTACTTTGGATCCAATGTTCAAAAATAGAATTGTATTTTCAGATGAGGCTTCATTTAGTCTTCATGGTCACGTGAACAGACAAAACTATAGGTATTGGTCTCCTGAAAATCCTCATTGGGCTCAAGAATGCCATACTCAAAATCCCCAAAAAGTCAATGTTTGGGCAGGCATTGTCGGGACCAAATTAATAGGGCCATTCGTGATCGAAGGAAATCTAAACGGAAACCGTTATCTGGAGTTACTGCGAGAGTCGATAGTACCTGCCATTGCCCATGAGTTTCCTCCGGAAGACGAAGAAAATGTTGTCAACGAGAACATTTGGTTTCAGCAAGATGGCGCACCACCTCACTATAATGCTGAAGTCCGAAATTACTTGGACGAAGTTTTTCCAGATCGTTGGATAGGGAGGCGGGGAGCTATTGAATGGCCTGCCAGATCACCCGACTTGACGCCGTTAGACTACTTTTTGTGGGGCCACCTAAAAAGTAGAGTATTTGTTAACCGCCCAGAAAACATCCAGGATCTCACAGCAAGAATAATAATGGAAGCACGATCTATTAATGAAGAAACGCTGTCCAGGGTGGTAAACGAATTTTACAATCGGTTGGGGCTCTGTCAAGTTTCTCTTGGGCATCAGTTTGAGCATTTGTGAATATTAACAAGTACGTAAAGTTGATTATTGCAATTACATTTATTATTTAGTTTAGGAATTCTATTAATTTTGATTGCTATTGTGTTTTTGTTGTTGTAGGGTTGTAGTATTATTGTAATTATTTGGTATTCTATTTTATTGTATTGGTAATCAATTTTTACACTATCAAACATTAGAGTATAAAGGAAAAAAGGTGTTCCAGACTTAATTCACCCGTTCAACGCTAAATGCATTTTAAGCCACCATATTAGACAGGATGCAAAAAAAACATTTTCAGACACATCGTTAAATTTGTCTTCCAAATACCTTTAAAATGAGGGGTCACAAGATGGGGGTTGTCTTTTGAAAATTTTTAGTTGCCCCCCCCCCCCCTTACCATTAGGGGATTTTTTCAAATAAATAAAAAGGTGCCTGATTTTGGCTCAGTCCCACGAGTGGATAAGTTCTATCTATTAATGGCAAAAAAGATAAAATTGTGTTCCAGACCCCACCCGTTTAACCCCAAGCACATTTAAAGCCGCCATCTTGGACAGGATGCAAAAAAAATTTTTTCAGACACATCGTTAAATTTGTCTTCTAAATACCTTGAAAATGAGTGGTCACAAGATGGGGGTTGTCATTTGAAAATTTTTAGTTACCCCCCACCCCCACCTTACCCTTAAGGGGATTTTTTTTCAAAATTATGAAAAAGTGCCAAACATTTGTTTTTACTCAGTCCCGCAAATTAATTCCTTCTATCTACAAAGAGTAAAAAAGATAAGAAATGTGTGCCATACCTAATTTACCCATTCAACCCTAAGTACATTTTAAACCGCCATCTTGGATAGGGTGCAAAAAAAAATTTTTTAGACACATCTTTGGATTTGTCTTCCAATGACCTTTAAAATGAGGGGTCACAAGATGGGGGTTGTCATTTGAAAATTTTTAGTTACCCCCCACCCCCCCTTGCCCTTAAGGGAATTATTATTTTCAAAATTTGTAAAAAGTGCCTAACATTTGTTATTAATCATTCCCGCAAATTGATTTCTTCTATCTACTATAGAAAAAAAGATAAAAAATGTGTGCCAGACTTAATTTACACCCTGTATATTCAGTCAACATAGGTATACAATTTAAAAAAGTTAGTAAAATTATCAAAACTTCTCCATGAAACAGGTTCTGTACAATTTCTCAGTGATAGATATTATTCAATCCAAATTGTATTTAACTATTCATACAATGTTTTAGTTAGTCTAATCTAATAATGTTTTAATTTGATTTGATTTGTAGTCAGGAAAGATTCTGAAACTGGTATTAAATCTAAGTAACAATTATTATTAGCATTGACGATCCTCATACCACTGGTATAGAAAACTTTGTTGAATCGAGAATCAGAATCGGTCTTATCCCTATTCTTCAGACATAACAGCTAAATTCATGGCTCAATCAAGGTTTTTCATGCTTGACAGAATTCACAGATTATTCGAGGTTTTAAAGTTTTCAAAGTATATTTGATAACCTGACCATGCTAAGGTAAGTTTGTGCACACTAATATCAATTTAGGTAATGAGGCTTAATTTTAAAAATACAAAAATACCCTTACCGAATCTTATAACTGCGTTTGGGAGTTGGCTAGGTAAGTCCCTGTAGCAATTGATGCCTGGAGTCCCAGCTAAAATAAGTAACAAAGCACCAATTACAGATACAGAAATAACTACAAATGAGAAAGAAATGAATACTTCGCCACAGAAAACTTGCAGACTAAGTCAGAGCCGTATCGGCCGGCTCTCACCAGAGAGAGGCCACTCTATATTCTGATTCTTTAAAGGTTGGAACTTAAATTGTTTTATCTCGATGAATTAACCTTTTTGTTTCCAACAATCCAATCAAGAAAAAGACCTAGGAGACTAAACTAATAAATCAAATAAAAGTCAATTAATTTTTTAAAATAAAAGTATAAAGGGGTCTTAGGTAGAGGCCAGACATTTTTAATTTCTTTCGGGTTGATTTATATACCCCCGCTGCAGCAAACCTGCGGACTAAGTGAATTGCCATTTGCCTGATTGGATTTACACTACACTAAAATGCCTTCTTAAAAATATCACATTTATTCCCTATTTAAATAGAATTAGTTTAACAGGAACTTAGGTTTGCTGCAGAAGGTAGGTTCCGCTCTTCCAATCGCGGCTCATAAACGACTCTTGTCACCACGGAGAAGTAGTTAACATCTGGCGGGAGAGTTGAAACATAATCTTCGTCTCCGACCATCGATCACGAAGAAATCGCGAGAATATTCCGAGTTTGCAGGGGCATGATCTTCGATTCATCCACATCTCCCGTGATCGCGGCAAAACAGAATATCACTTAAATAAACATATCAAAAAATTAAGCCACTAAGTGAGGCCCCCAGCAATCGCCGTTAGATAAATACGACCCTGGAATAAGTGAATTTTCATTGTTTTAATTTGATTTTCAATTAGATATTTCCTTGAGCTTGTCAGATTGATTCCTAATTTAAATAACAAAATATGTTCAACGATTGCTTAGGTTTGCTGATACAGGGAGGGTTATAAAGTGTGTGTTAATTATCAAATGATGGTTAAATGGTTATTAAATGATGATAACTTCGAATAATATAAGAAAATTGTAAATTGATCAAGATATTTCAAACAACAATCAAGATATTGTATAAACAAGCAATATACCCCATAAGAATAACATTGAAATTTAAAATTTAATTTTTTCTATTTTCTTTGTAACCAATAACTACAAAAGGTCAGAATATTAAATTATTTGTTTTTAAAGCTCTAAAAAATGTTTTATAGAGAAATAGAAATTTTTTATAATTTGGTGGTCAAAAATGAGAAACCCCTATTTTTACCTGTTATAACCTTGTTCCCATGCATCATGCTGGTCCTTAAACTTGTTTGAATAAACGTAGGTTTACTCGTTTGTATCCAATTTCATCAAAATTGGATATGTTTTGCTAGAGTTATCATGCTAAAAGACACACAAATGTATTTGTACACTTTACCTGTATTAAAAAGGCAGCGCAAGCAGACACATTTGCCATCATCATCATCAAGCCACCAAGCACCTGAACGAATTTGTAAAATCAGTTAAAAAATAAAAAAAAACAGAAATTACAATACAAGGACAAGATCGACAATACAAAAACAATATTTAAATTTCCTGATTAGGAAGGTCATAGGAAGGGGGGTAGGAAGGGGAGTTTAAAAGTCCTTGACATTAAAATAGTTAATTTTTGTGTCCGACCAACAATTAAAATAAGTTTCTTCTGGTTGGTGGAGTAATTGGCCACTCTTGTCGCAAGTTATTTAGGCCTATACTAAGTGTTACGGGAGTACTATATACCCTTCAGTCGGAGTTGTCCTGGGTGTGCCACCACTGAGAAAGGTCTGTGTTAATTCAGTGCACTCTAAGTAACCTGACACAATTGTTTATCGAACACAATACAATTCTGTGCTGTTTTGTATATTTACCCTGAGGCAAGTAAACTCATGTAATACAAATGGGCATACAGTAGACCCTCGATTAACCACCTTCTCTTTGTTATCCGTCACCTCCCTTCGCTCCCGGTTCCGACGGTGGCAGTTAATAGAGGTTCTACTGTGATTTAATTCAGGTTACTTGACAATATGCAGGCCTACAAGATACACTAAACTGAAAAAAATACTTAAATAAAATAGCTTCTTTCATTCAATATTTGAATATATTTTTTATGATTAAATTGAATAATTTGAATTCCCAATTGATTAATTTTGATTATTTAATAGGATTTCATAAGTTGGTTTTCAGCAGCTTAACATAAGTTGGTTTTGAGCAGCCTGAAGTAATTTAGTGTAGCCTAACTATCCGCAGGTCGACATTTTGGCAAGTTTGACACCCTCCCGCTCTTATAAGGGTCGTATTTAGGGTATAGGCTGGGATGAAAGTTGTTTTAACAAAAATGCTTATTTACAAACTCTTAGGCTATTGAAGCAAATATATTATTCTTTGAGCTTTTTTTTTATTGCCAAGTTTGAACATTACGTCATCAATTTTATTCGTAGCAAATTTCTATAGCCTGCAAAAACAATGTTGTATGTTTAAGTTGTGTAATGCAAAATTCTAAAAGTGCTCACCCTGGTTGTATAAAAAATTAGAGATTTTAAAGATTTGAATATAACATCCAAATCTCTCAAAAATCAGTTTTGAATGGTAAAAATATCCTCGCCACAGTAAACCTGCAGACTAAGCGAATTTCCATTCACATGGCTAGAACTCCACTACTGTAAATTGTTTTCTTAAAATTGTCAGATTTATTTCCTACGGTATTTAAATATCATTAATTTTGATGAGTAACCTACTTAGGTTTGCTGCTAAAGGTAAGGTAATAAGATGTACTTGTTTGTATTGGAATATTATTGATATAGCTTAGTATGATGTAGGCCTAAGGACCAATTTTCCAAATTTCATTAAAATATGTCCATTTGCATACCAGCTGCAACAGTTTATTTATTCTCCCAAAAAATTACAAGTTCAGTTTAAATTTACACTTTTTTGGAATTAATTTTGTATCCGTTAGGCATACAACGCTTAAATATAAAAAATTATTAGTTGCTTTTTTTTAGCTCTACAATACCTATGGTTAGAAAAGAAATTGCCAAATTTTATGTTTTTATGGAGAACCCCCTATTTTTACTCCATAAAATGCCTGTTACCATAAATCATGCTGGTTCGCAAAATGGTTCAAATAAAATGTAGGTATATACCAAATTTCATGTAAATCGGATAATTCTTTCTTGAGTTATCATGCTAATGGAAACATATATAAATAAAATAATAAAAACCGGAGAACCCTGAAATTCATTTTTAATTAAACTTATTCGTATTTTGGCACTAAGGTCATGATTATAAGTTATAAAAGTATGTAAACTAATAAAATAAATATATATACATACCGTACATAGATTAATTTGAACGAATGGTGTTTTTAGCCTATATATGTAGGGACTTCAAAGCGAAAAAAGTAAATCGGCCCGGGGTCCAGGTTTTACCATGAGACCTAAGGTAATGGCTTATTTCCTATATAGGAAATTTGCTAAAACTAGGTAGAAAAAAATTGAAAAGATATTTACCAGGGGTAGGTGGTCTCCAAGGTCGATTGTTGGCGTTCATCTTAACTCCTCCTTTGAACAGAAGTCAATATATACTGTACTGATCATGACAATTAAGTGCAAAATGACTTAAAAATGCTTTTAAGTTACGTTTCAGTTCAATTCTAAGAATTGAAAAGTTTTAAATAACAGCATTGTTTACTTTCATAACAGCATAGTTTTACTCATAACAACACGGGTAATGGACCAATGAGGTTCAAGGATTGAACAAATGAGACAGAAGAAGTAAAATTGTAATGATTAGAACTTCATCTAATCCGCTGTTCAGGCCAATTTAATTGTTGAGAGGTGCAATTAGTGTTTGGTACAATGTTTCGTTGCATCACTTGCCAAGGCTCATAACTTAAATTTTCAACTCAACTTACCAATTACCAAGTTATCAATTTAAGTTTATTAAATATACAATGATTGCGTGGTTGGGACATTGAGTAGTTGCCTCACAGTGGCAATGAGAGGTTATAAACAAAAACATTACCTCTTTAGACGTTATGAGTATTGATTGTTAGTAACTAGGCCTAATTAAAACATGGCCGTAGATAAAGTAGTGTATGCAACTCGCGTAATTAGCCTTTAAGACACTCGTAGAAGTTTTAAATTTACTACCTACTTGTATAGTAGGCCTAAAGACTATCTTTTCGCGATCGTTGTACAAACTTTTATAAGCTGTGGGTTAAATGACTAGGCTTACATCACAAAATACAATAATATGAAATAAGTTAAACACCTCTCCATTAAATCACAAAGGTTAGGCCTATGGATAATCAAGCAGTTCGTCATAAATAAGTACCACATTTAACAGTGTATGTATGTAAACTAAAATTCTGAAATTCAAAAATTAATAAAAATGGTAGGCCTAAACACCGTGTTTAATGTAACTTAAAAACTGGCATAGACCTATAGAATGTCAATCCGTTTGATTTGACCCCTAATTAAAGCAAAAGTTTAAAAGAAATAAAAAGAACCATTGTAATAGGGCTACTTTAAATTAAGTTTAGCTTAATTAGCTCGTTGTTTAAATGTAGACACCATCAAATTATAACATTTAAGCAACTTAAATCTGTGATAAACCTACCCAGGCCTATGTCCCTATCTAGGACTGATAAACCTGGCTAATCCTACATCTCTGCCTAGAACTACAGTAAGTTAGACTCCCTCTTATCTGGACACCTTTTAACCAGACATCGGTTTAACCGGACTACACTCGGCGGAAATTAGGCCTAACTTTAACCGGACAATTTTATCAGCACATTGGTTTAACCGGACTAGATCAGTAGGAAGTGGGCAGTACTGAAACGACTATTCTCGTGAGAAAGATTTGAGACCAGTGATCACGTGTCTAAATACAATGCTCTCCTAAATTTAAGTCGAAAATCACAGTAAACGGTCCATTTTAACGAGTTTTTACAGACGTCAGTTTAACCGGAAACCCAGTTATCCGGACTGGCCTCGGTCCCGAGGAGTCCGGATAATAGGGAGTATACTGTAATGAACATGGCTAGGCCTACATCTCTGCCTAGAACTGGTAAACCTGGCTAGGCCTACAGCTCAGCTTAGGATTGATAGATCTAGCTAGGCTTACATTCCTGCTTAGAACTGATTAATCTGGCTAGGCCTACATCTCTGTCTCTCTAGCTAGGCCTAGGCCTAGATCCTTACATCCTTGGCTAGGCTACTCCTTAGCAACATCAGCAAGTCTTTATTGTAGCCTATATGCCTAGGATTGAGGAGTAGGCTATCTAAGGCATGAAACCTTACTAGGCCTATGTAGGAAAGTCTTGTTAGAATGATTAGGTTTAAGCCAGTAAAGAGTTATACCCACAGGCAAAGTTGAGAAAATGGGCTTGGACAAGAACTTGATCTAAAAATTACGGTCATGGTAAAAATTCAGTTTCGAGGCGGCCGTAAAGGCGGCCGTGGTTCTGTTGTATAGTTTCACTTTAACCAGCGCTTGTCACTTCTGTAATATTTTTATATTATTTAATATTTTAGGTAAATTGTTGATTTTACTTACCGCTCACACACACGAGTACTGGTCAGTGGTCACCGGTTAAGGGGCTATATGGCGCAATGCATCCTTCTAAGGAAGCTTAGTTTCTTCTTCTTTACATTTTAGCGGCATAACCTAAACAACGAATGAGAAAGTACCGTACTAATTTTCTCATGTGTGTGTGTATAGATTATATATATATATGTGTGTATGTATACAGTATATACATACATTGGTATGACAATGAATTTTCGTACAGCTACAAAATTATTTGAGCCTCAATTATGTGGGGATATTTATCTATGTATTTACATTATAACCATTTTACAATAATATATTAAATTAATTCTTTAGCTCGAGACAAAATGCCAAATAATTATATAACATTATTATTTCTAGCAAATCGACTAATTTGAAATTTTATTAATGCTAAAGTAGAATATAGAGAGACAAAACTGTTGTAGATACTTTAATACTATAACCATTGAATATTTATTCAATGCTATAGTAGAAAGATTTTTGCGCAAACAATAAAATTATTCTAAAATTAAAGTCTTGACTTTTATTGACAATTAAATTAGAATGCTTAGGTCTTGGGTCTGCTGTAATATTTAAAGGGCCGGCGAGATGGCGTGGCAGGGGGGGCACAGCCGCGAGTCCCCGGCCCGGTCAAACGTAACATGATTACATTGTAATCTGCCAAGTCAAACATTTTTGGGTAGTTTTTTTCAGTTTATTAAGTAATTTTTTACTTGATTTGTTAGGTTTTTTTACTTTAACTAGAGGCCGCGGCCTGGAGTTGAAGGCGGCCGTGACATAACGGACGTGGCTGATCGCTGGCACTCATGCGGAGGCGCTTTGTGGTGGCCACTACGAGAACTACCAGCTGATGCAACGTGGTCGTCCAACAATGCTCGTTATCAGAGCAGGCGAGCGGATGTGGCTGATCGCTCGAACTCAAGCTGAGGCGCTGTGTGGCGCCCACTACGAGAACTACCAGCTGATGCGACGTGGTCGTCCAACAATGCTCGTTTGTTATCAGGGCAGGCACGCTCTGTGTTCTTGGAGGCTAGTGGCCATCTTGGATTATTTCAAACAGCTGTTGGAGGGTTGATTATCATCCTAAAGTATTTTTTCATATACCATAGTGTTTGTAATTTAAATATCTAGTGCACTGTGAGATTGGAAATTTTCTTTGTGGTTTTGTAATCGTTTTCCACAGGAGTCTGTGGAGACCAACGTCCATTTTGGATTGGCCCTCCATATGAACAATGTTTATTTTGTTAGCTTCAAACAGCCACTAAAGAGCTATTTACCATCACAAAATATGTTTTTTTTTAAATTCCAAAGTTAAATTAAAATATTTAATGCAGGGTGAGATTAGAAATGTTCCTCCTACTTTTGTAATTGTTTTATGATTTATAACGTTTAGGCTCCAAGGACTCTTAATAACGTAAACTTTTTTGCTCCTCCTGTTGCATGGCCTGCTAAAAAATATTCATGCTTTACAAAAATATAGTCGTAGGCATATTTGTGTGTGTGTTTCTTTTTTATTTGTTTGATGATTTATGACTATTGTTTGTGGCTATTTTACCTTTAAGCCATTCTGATTTTATGTACAGAGTGATAAAATTTGTTATGCTACATTAAACTTAATACTTTCATAAATTCATGTTTAAACTATTTAATCACTATCACGACATTAATTGATTGAACCATTTTTCAAAATGAAATAGATAGTAGTAAAATAAATTTTCTCGTATTAAAATCAATTTATTAACTCTCCAAAAGAATGCTCCTATCGGCTGGGAATTGATCCAAAAACCAAGTATAACTGCCTCATCGTCAATACCTTGATTAATTATTTTCGGGCAATCGTCGAATTCATTCCTAATTTTTTCCGGCATTTACGTTCCTTTATCGGACGATCTCCGGTTATAGACAGGACCCTCATATGCAGCAAAATAGTAGGGGCCAAGTCCAAAACATACCTGAGGGCGAACTTTGCTACTCACGGGCTTCCTAAGTAGGAGTTCATGGGATAAGTTTAAGTATCAAGATTGATATCCAAGACCGAGAAAAAAATTATGTTGGTTGTACTGATTTTATCCTTCCTTTGGGGATAAGCTAGGGGGTTTCGTCAAATTGTGTACAAGTTTATTAGCAGCTCGCTGAGCTGCATTTAAGTTTCCCGATGAAACATTCCGTATCAATATGACTACCGGAAGTGCTTTAGTCTTCAAACTCTCTTGCAGGGCCAGGACAGACATCGTAGCCTCCGAGGCAGCACATGATTGCATCTTGATACAATCATTGTGAAGCAACCGTTCACAATGTCCGTCACATCCTATGGCTTTTACATCATCCATCCATTTTCATTTTCATAGAAACAATAAAGGTGCTGTTTACCGTATCATACGATTTTTATATAGTATATTTATAGATTCTGATTCTTTATTGATCATTAAACACAACTGTGCATAGATCTTGTCATGCAACATAGTAATAATCATTACCTGTCAATTTTTGTATATGGAAATAAATAAATAAAAACATGCAATAAAATTAAATTACCAAAAACAATACAAGCAAATGCAGATCACTGTTACAAGGAGAACTAGCCTATACAGATGAAGGCATTACAATTCTTATATTATTAAGTAATGGTAGCTTCAAACAGATGCACAAGCGGAAAGAAAAGTCCTTAACAGTATTTTAGGAAGGCATTAACACGTTAGCTGCCAAGGCTATTTTCGGGGGGGGGGGATTGTTGTATTGCCAACTATATGCTCACGTAATATTTTAGTTATATGATGTTATTTTTACTTATCTAGGTTGGTTATAATGTTATCTGTCCAAATACCTATAAGAAAATGGCGGAAAAAGTGTCACCCCGATAGGGGTGACAGTGATTTTTTTCAGTCAAATTTTGCTGAAAAAAATCGCTGTAACCCTGGTGGGGTGACACTGAAATTTGACCATTTGGGATATATTTCATTTTGTTCGGTTGGCAGTAGCGGCATTTTGGCGTGTGAAGACAACAACACCTGCTTATTACTCGACTGGGTTATGTTTACTTCTTCTTGTGTTGTACTTTTTAGCTATTTATAGCCTAGTTTTCGTGTTGGTTTTCTTTTCATAGTGTGTTGTGGCTTTTGTCCAATATGAGTGACAATCTTGGTGATAAAGATATCGAACGTTTTTTGGGTTTACCAATGTCAAGTGAACTAGATTTTGGAGATCTGAGTGATGGTTTTTTGGGAGGTAGTGCTAAAGACAGTGATGAGTCAGACGGGGATGACGAAAATGGACATCGACCCAGACTTTCAACCTACCCTCCTGTCAATGTCAGAGAGCGAGCACAGCAACAATGGTCGTGTTTTTATTCATTATTATACATAGGGCCTATATTTAGTTTTTTTAGCAATGTAATAATGATTACAGTTTGACATAAAAGATTTAAAAAATATGGTTGTTTTCTTTCTTATCAGTTTTGCATCAGTATAACCCAAATACTTAAGGTACTTTTATGTTTAGGTTAGGGAAATAATTTCAGTCATAAGATACAAAAAACTCGTATAAAATATAAACACCAACTGAATAAGATAAACGTTACGTCATTTTATGGTACATATTTCATAAAGAGTAGATAAAATTGTTGAAAAAAAATAGCGTAACCCAAATCGGGGTGACAACATTTCAGTGATGATTCGCAGTGCCTTCTTTTGTTGACGTAGGCAGTCAGGAGCACGGCCCCAAAGCTGGAGACCGTACGAAATGTGGCTGTGGATCAAAGAACGATACACAACTATCAGGTAAGATTTAGGGTTAAGTATTGTAAGTTTTCGGAGAAGAAAGTTAATCCTCGCTAACCTTTTACAAATGTTGTCAATGTGGTCTCCCCAGGTTAGTTTAGGATCAAGAATAAAGCCTAATAGTGACACATTTTTTTACACTTGATCTAGTGATGGCGTTAGGGACGAGATAAGTTTCTGTTTTATCTTCATTTAGTTTAAACATGTTACAATTAAACCACTCTCTAGCAGCTCCGAACAAAAGGTCGGATTCTTCCATCGCTGCGTTTGGATTTCTTCCAGTCGTAATCAGTGTCGTGTCATCCGCAAATCTTAGCGCCTTACCCTCCAACTCAAGGTCATTTATTGCTACCAGGAATAAGATTGGCCACATTACTGAGCCCTGAGGCACACCATACTCTACTTTAAGCGCATTAGACAATGCACCAAGGGAAATAATTTGCTGGCAATTGTCGAGATAAGAAGCAAGTGTTGAGTAAACCTTTTCCCCAAAACCATAACCCCTTAGCTTGTCCAAAAGGATCAGGTAAGATACTACCTCAAACGCCTTTGACAGATCACATAGAGTCAAAGCTACAGACTCGAAGGCTTCGAAAGCACCTTGTATTTTCTCATACAGATCGGACACTGCCGTGATAGTTGACCTACCTTGCCTAAAGCCATGTTGCAGGTTGGAAAGCAAGTTCTACTGTTTTAGATACTCAACTACATGCCGCTTCATGACAGTTTCCGTGACTTTGGCTATCATAGGTATAATTGATATAGGTTGGTAACTGGCCATACTGGAAGGGTCACCTTTCTTGAAAATAGGCACCACTATTAAAAAACTAAAATAGGTACCACTAGGCACATTCAAGTTCCAGAGTGCCTTACTTACAGGGATTTGGCGAGCTATCAATACTTTTGGTATTTACGGCCTTCTCAGCCTCATCTACTTTCCACCTATAAAGTTTTTTTTGCCCTAGCGTAGAGTAATCTGAGGTTGTCAATGGCTGCTTTACCAGTTGAAACGGAGAGCCTGTCCTTAATTGCTAAGACAAACATCTTAACTCTAGCTAATACAGGTGTAAACCAAGACTTATCCACTCTAATAGGCATAACTCTTGTCTCCCCTGTCATACGCTTAGTTTGCAGAGGAAAATAGAATTTAAAGGCTTCACAGAGCAATGCAAAAAAGCGTCAAAAGCTTCTTTAGGTTCTCTGCCCTCTATCACATTGTGCCAGTTAACTTGCGAAAG